GCCTTTAAATTACAGGCTGCCCATTTCCAAGGGATGGTTACTAAACCTGCCTAGCTCTTAGCTTCCAGGGTTTGTGAGGCCAAATTGAGGTTAGCCAGTGTGCAATCCAAGCTATTGAATATTTTTAAAATTACACACAATGAGCCCTGGGACACCTACTCATGAGACCACCAGTGCAACATATACTGCTTTACTGGGCAGCATCATTTGTGAGTCACAGTCTGGGCTTGTGTTTTGTGTTTCTTTTCTGCTATCTCTTCAAGTGAGGGAATTGCCTGAGGGGAATGCCCCCTCCCCCATGGGATTAACAGGGAGATATGACTGGGCCTTAGTGCCACAGAGCGGCAAAACACACACACACACACAAAGGGAAGCTAGCAGCAGCTTTAGAAGTAGGTGAAGGGGATAACCTCTGTCTAATTCTGAATGGTGTGTCTCTGTGTGTGTGCTTGTGTATGCACCTACTTTTACCTACTTTTACAATACAAACATGCTGGACAATTTTCCCTGCCACCAGGCAGAAGTCCAAGGTGTCCAGAATTTGCTGGGACAGTCACTCTCAAATACAATCCTTATATGATTATACATTAGACTGATTACAATGTAAATGATACAAGAAAGCAAACATTACAATGAATTTCACATTACAATGAATTTCCACCCTCCCCCCATAATATTTCTGTCTTCTGGGGATTGAAAAGAGTCTTGTAGTCTTTTACTGGTCCATCTAAGGGTCCTTTCCTTCATGTCTCTGGGTGGCATAGACTTGGCCTGGTAGTATGGGTGGTCAATCAGGCTTGGGAAGGTCTGCTCCATTCTGGTTGCTGTGATAACTTTCAGTGGAGGACTGGATCCAAGCCCAATTCTTTGGCTCCGATGAATTGAATGTCTCCTCTGGGGGCAGCATCTGTTTCCACATGTTGCAGGGCTGAAAGACATAAGAACAAGGTCCCCTCTCCCCTTGGCTGATAATTCTATCAGGAAAGGCATTGTAAAAGGATTAGAGATTGGTGGAGTAGATAGCTTGCAGGCAGGGGGAAACAACAACAACACATCAGTTAAACTAAGCAGTGAATATGTAGTCCTATTTTTTCTTCTTCCATGTTAGGTAACAGAAATAGGAAGTTACTGGCAATTTTATTACATTATCTAAAAGAAGTGTTGCAAGAAACCTGACCCTGTTAACATAAGGGAATATAGATACATTTAAACAGCAATCTATTTCTCAATATTTGGGTGGTGTGGATGCTCCGTTATTTGTACTATGTTTCTCCAACAATACAGCCTCCACCAATAGGAAGGCCCAGCATGATTTCTAGGCATGAGGTGAAATTAAGCCCCGCCCCCAAAATTTAGGCCTATTTAACCCATGCGTTTCCCCATTTCTCACATCGTTCGTTAAAACTACACGAGGTGAAGAGAAATGGGGGGGAGGGGAAAACTTGCCTTTAGGAGCACCTGGCAGGTAGCCTAGGCTAGAATACCCCAATCTACTACTGAGAGAACATCAGCCGATAGAAGCTCCCCGAAGGCAGGGTCACCAGCCACTTCTATCGGCCAGTAGAAGTGGCCTCAGGGTTTTATGTTTTGTTTGTTTATGTTTGCTTTTAAAAATCACTAAAATTTTCAAAAAAAAGGAAAGAAGTGGCCTCAGGGCGAGCGCCCACACACACTCCCCTCGCCACGAAGCCATTTCTATCGGACGATGGAAGCTCCCCAAAGGCAGAGTCACCAGCTATTTGTATTGGCCAATGGAAGCTCCCCAAAGGCAAAGTCACCAGCCGCTTCTATCGGCTGTTAGAAGCGGCCTCGGGGCAAGCGCCCACGCGCATTCCCCTCACCATGAAGCCGTTTCTATAGGCCAATGGAAGCTCCCCAAAGGCAGAGTCACCAGCCGCTTCTATCGGCCGGTAGAAGTGGCTTTATGGCGAGGGGAGTGTGCGTGGAGCGCTCGCCCTGAGGCCACTTCTACTGGCCAATAGAAGCAGCTGGTGACTCTGCCTTTGGGGAGCTTCCATCGGCCGATAGAAACGGCTTCATGGCGAGGGGAATGCACATGGGGCGCTCCTGTCAGGAGCACTCCGCGGGCAGCAACACCTCGCCCTGAAGCGGCTGGTGACTCTGCCTTCGGGGAGCTTCCATCAGCCAATAGAAACAGCTTTGTGGCGAGGGGAGTGTGTGTGGGTGCTTGCCACGAGGGTGCTTCTCCTGGCAGACAGATTTCCTCCCCCCCCCACACCCCCACCTAGAGCGCCCCATGCGCACTCACCTCTCCATGATGCCGCTTCTACCCGCCGATAGAAGCGGCTGGTGACTCTGCCTTCGGGGAACTTCCATCGGCCGATAGAAGCAGCCTTGTAGAGAGGTGAGTGCGCATGGGGCGCTCTAGGTTGGGGTGCATGTGGGGGAGGAAATTAAGTCACCCCCGAAAAGATGTCCTAGCCGTTTTTTCGGGGCTCAAAAAAAAATAAGACCCAGCCTTATTTTATGAGAAACACGGTAGTAATGAGCTTTTCCAGACTTACCATGTAATTAAGTTATTCAAAGCTTTCTTACATGTTCTGAGTTTTTTTCAGTGCCATTGCCCAGTGTGCAACTATATACCATAGCTATTTAAAAAGCTACACTTAAACTTATGTGGAATGGAGGAATCTAGTGGGAAAAAGTGAAATCTTTGCTATTGCAAACTTCAGGCTGGTTGTTACTCAAAACAAAGTGGACAAATATTTATCATCACTGTGCTGTCCAGCCAGTTATAGTTAAGGGGAATTGGCATAGTTAGTTAGAAATTGAGAGCTGTCCCCTTAAGGGAATGCATCATGGTAAATATAGTTAAGGTATCCTGGGAAAAGTAGTCCTTGTCATGTGGCCACATCTGTAATCCTGATTGGTCACTGAATTGACCTTTGGTGGGTTCAGGGAGGTTTCTTCTCTCTTGCCTGACCCAAGCTCCATGCTAGCATCTCTATTCCTGCTTCTACGATATGGGATGAAAGGGATAAGAGATAACCATCTTTTTACCCAGAAAGACAGATATGCAAAGAATTGGACATTGAGAAGAATCTCGTCATAACTGTGTGTTATTTTGAGGATGCCTGATGAACCAATAAAAAGACTCTGTATGGATGCTTTGTGGAGTTATCTATCTGCCTTTATACATTCAGTCAGCAATTATAGAGGACAGAATAATCACCTTGTCTCTAATAAATAAAATTGCTTTTTGAGAAATTCCTATCTCTTTGACCCTGTCCATACACCTGCCTGATTGTTGTTCCTCCTCTTTGCCATCAACATTTTTTTTCTGCTCCATATGCTGTAACAGATGATGTTTTAAACCTGGCACTTCTATCTGTGATTTTTTTTGAAGACATTTGCTGTCTATTTTTTCTAGCTAATATGATCCTTTAGAAGGTAGAATAATATTACCTTCATTACATTCCTTGTTATCATTTCTATGGCCTTCCTATATTGGTCAAGGTCATGCTCTATACCAACACATTTACTGTATGTCCTTTTTCAATTCCAAACACTTCCACTCAACCCACCCACTCCAACTTCTGTCTCAGCTTTGAGGCTTCTCTCCTTGGTGATAACCAAGCAAATCAAATCAACATTTTAACTGTGATTAATTTCTGTGTTCCTGAGATAAAGATTTGCTTGTTCCTGAGATAAAGCATGCTTAATGCTCTTACATCAGAAATGGGTAACAAAAGTTATGCAAATATATGGTTCTTGTATTCACTATCATATTGCCATGTTTTATTTATGAGCACTTAGTGTCAGTTCTCTGGGGGTTATGATCAGGGTGGGATTCAAATTTCTTAACAAAAGGTTCTGTGGGTGTGGCTTGGTGGTCATGTGACTGGGTGGGCATGGCTTGTATGTAAATATTATAAATATTTATGTAAATATTGACTTTTTTTTATAAAGAAAGAGCAACTTTTACCCAAAAACAGTCAAAGCAGGCAGGCAGACTGAGTTGCTCACAGAATCACAGATTCACTTATCTGCAATTGGCTACCTGAGTCTGCACTGAAAAGCTTCAGTCCTAAGGAAGGTTCGGCTCTGCTTTTAGATTAGCTAGAAAGCAAGAAATCCAAACCAGGCAAGTTGGATGGCTCGCATGCCAGGTAAGGAGTGAATGGGCGGGGAGGGGCGGGGCCAGCCAATGGAGCCATTTGCCGGTTCTCTGAACTGTGGACAATCATAACGTGTGTGCAGCGTTGGCAAGAAATTATTAGCTGTGCTGCTGATGTGTGTTTGAAAATCCTCGTTTCCTACTTTTTCAACCTCAGCTCTGCCGCGCAAAACAGCTGAGGAGGGAAAAGCAGGGAATAAAGGACAGCCTGAAGCCCAGGCAGGCAGGTGGGCCTGGTTCGGCGTCAGTTGCTCTTCGCAACTACAGGTTCTATAAAACCGGGCCGAACTGGTAGTATTCCACCCCTGGTTATATGTTATGGAGAAAGTTATTACTTTTGAAAGGAAGAGATAAAGAGTATATTCATCCTGTGGAATCACATGGGTGGTTTTATCAGAGAAGAGTTAATAACAGTAGGGGTCAAGAAATTTCAATGTTTTGTTTTCTTCCTTCCTCCCAATGTTATTTTTTTTCCTGAGCTTATAGGCCAGTGGCGGCTAACCTTTTTGGGCTCCTGTGCCCAAAATTGTGTGCATAGCATGCCAGCACCCAGAATGCAATGTGCGGGCCCCCCTCCCCACGCCCCTGCGCATGCAACCCTTTTCCCCTGACCTGCACTGCACCTCACAGCTGATTTTTCGGCTGGTTCATCAATTCTGGTATTACAGGAAGTGATGAAATGGGCCTATAATTCATCCTGAAAAGCCTCTGGGAGGCCAAAAAAGGCTTCAAACCAACTGGGGAAAAAAAAATCAGCTGTGAGGTGCGCGCACATGTGCAGGTGAGGTAAATTTGCCCTAGGTTTGCCATCATGGTTGTAGGCTGTTTCAAATATGGGCATTCTGGGCATTAAGCATGAGTTATGAATGCACATTGGTATTTTGCAACATTCTCTAACTTTACAACATGCTGTGTAGGACTTGGTATCCAGTGAGAAGGCGAAGAAAATCTGTACGTCACAGGGGAAGCAAGGGCGGAGAATGAGGTGGCAGGGGGCTGAAGGAGTCTCTCTGCCTGAACATGGTTCTGACCAAGTGAAATATTAAAATAAGCCCAAAGCCTCTGTCCTCCTTAGGTCCAGGGGTTTTCTAGTCTTTCTAGACGCCGATACTGCTGGAGAGGCGGCCAAGAAAATAGCGTTCCAGCAGCCCCCTTCTTCCTCCCACCCGCCCATTCCTCTGCAAACTTCTGGAGCACGTTTTCACGGAGGGTGTGCAGGGGCCTCCGGGCACCGTCTGGCACTGCAGCAAACCTGTTCGGATTTCAATGGGGAAGCATCCTTAAAAGCCCACCAGCCGCCGCCGCCCCCACACCCAGCGTGGGTTGCAGGTGAAGCGGCTGCTGCTGCTGCTGCTTATCCCGGGCCTCTTAACTGAAAGAGAGCGGGAGGAGGAGGAAGAACGGCGGGCTACCACCCGTCTCCCCCATCCAACCGCTCTTCCCGAGAAGAAGCCGCGGCTCGTCTCAAACTAAACCGCCGCCGCGCTTTTTATGGGCAACGCAAGGCTTGCATCTTATTGGAGACAACAGCCACGCAAGGGCGAGCGGGGGGGGGGGGGGCGGTCCTAAGCCGCCAGCCTTATCCCACCCCCCCAAAAAAGAGGCGGGGGGCGGGGGGGGGGGGGGGGTGGGGGGGGGGAAGAGACGACCAGGAGAACGAAGCCCCCCCCCCCCTCCCGACACACACACACACATAAACACACGTGCATATACACACACGCGCGCGAAGCAGCGGCGTCGGCGGGCAGCAAAGCCTCGCAGCCCACGGATAGGTGTCGGGCGAAGGGAAGAGCGTCGTCGGGATCCTCCGCGCTAGGACCCAGCGAAACAAAGGCGGCGCCTCCGGGTCCCCCCCCCCCTTTTTTTTTTTTGCCCTGCGGAGCTCTGACTGCAGCAGCAGCAGCAGCGCGCGCCATCGCCGGGGCGGCAAGCAGGCACCAAGCGGCGGGCGGGTCTCTCTCTCCTCTCTTCTGCGGTTTCCTGGAACCGCAGATTGGGAGAAGGAGCGCGTGCCTCTACCCGGGGGCGTTTGCATGCCTGCCTGCCTGTCCTCGGCTCGCTGGAGTGCGCCTTAATGCCGGCGCCCCTCCTCCTCCTCCTCCTTCCCTCTCCCGCCCCGCAAGACTAAGCCCCTCACGCGGACGGACGGCTGCCGCCGCTGCTCGCCTGCGCCTGCCTACCTCACGCTCGGGTTTCCCCCTCCTCTTCCCGCGCGCGGCCGGGCTTTCCGTAGGATTGCCGTGTGTGGGGCGGCTTGGTGCCGGTGCTGCAGTCGTCTTTCCGCCGCCGCCCCCCCCCTCTCTCTCCCCCGGCAAACCTCCCAAGTTTCCCCGTTCTCGAGCTTCCTTTTCTCTCCCGGCAAGATTTCTTCAGCCTCACCAAGTCCTCCTCCTCCTCCTCTTCCTCATTATTATCGTCATCACCGCCACCACCACCATCCTCTCCACTCACCCCCCCTCCCCTTCTTTTGGAAGCTCCTTTGAGCGCCTCCGGGTACTCCCAAGGTAGGCTCCTCACCTCCCCCCCCCCCCCCCCCTCCCCCCCCTCTCCCCCCCCCCCCTCGAAAAAACCCCCGGAGGGGGGGCTTTTGTGGGTTGGTTTTGGGGAAAAACCGGGGGGGGGGGAGGAGGGGGGGAGAAGAGATGCTAGCCAGTCTCGACGTGGATGTGTTTGTGCAAAAAAGAGGATTCCTTGAACCTTCCCTCACCTCTCAAGATAATAGGAGCCTCCTGTTTTGAGTAGATCCTTTTTTTAAAAAAAAAGATGATGCAAGTTTGTGCTGCGCTGTGGCTGTGACTGTTGTTATTTATGAAGTGCATATCCCGTCTTCGTGAACGTGACAGGTATTGTCTTCAAACAGCTGTCAAACATGGTTAACATTTGGAAGATGTGAACTGCATTGGATTACAGGGATGTCTGTAATACCCCCCCCTTCCTCATCTTCCTCCTCTTCTATCTCCCTTATATATTTTGGAAAATATATAAAACTTAGAGTAAATGTATAAATACCAGTGGTGAAGTGCTGAATTCATTTACTGGATAGGGAAAAGTCTGGAATCTTTTTATGTTACAGAGAAAGGGGGAGAGAAAACAATATTATTTGCATCTGTGTATGTGTCACTTGCATTGCATGTTCGAGCAAGGTATTATCTCAGTGGAGGATGGCAATATAATAAGTTACTCACCGGGAGAAAAAGTGCTTCTGAGACCCCAAGATTTAAAGTCCTTCTTGAAGTGATGGTAGTTGAATTGAACTGAAAGCATCAATAAGTAGATATAAGCTAAGTATCCTGTCCTTTTCAGCCTTTAGGTTTTGCAAAACAGCTGCTTCCAAGAGGAAGAAAATACCCTACATGATGCAGTGGCTTCTCATTTTCTTGATATGCTTTTCTGCAAGGTGAGAGGAAATTTGGATTTTGTATCAGCAATATCAAGGAGTATATTGTTTTCTGGGGGTTGGTTTTTGTAAATGGCATATATACATATATATATACACTACAGAATACAGAAGCCTGATGATGGCAGATGAGATTCTGCCGAAACGTTGCTACAACTTTAAAAGCACAACTACAATGACGTGGGAAAATACCCGAACAAAGCTGAATACCATACATGTAAGTACCCGCGAAAACTTAAGAAAACACATATATATATACACACATATATATATATACATATACATATATATTCATACACACACACACACACACACACACACACACACATTCCTAACATGAGCTTTCTAATTGTATGCAGAACAAGTCAAGTAAAGGAAGAAGTTATGGGGATGGTAAAATACTAGTAAACTTATAGTAGATCAGTCCTTCTAAATGTCAAACGACATTTGTCATGTTTATCCTAAAATAAAACTAATAAAATTAGTTTAGGAGTTGTTTTTCTGTTTCTGTATTCTTTTACGTTTTGCAATGATTTTGGGAGTCATTCTGCTATCTCTTCATTATCCCAAGTCTGTCCACACAGAGAATAAGATTTTTCTAAAGTTCAGAAACAAGACAAAATAGGGAAAGTAGTGAGATTATGTATACGGACAGTATTTTGGTCAAGATAATAGAGTGGACTTGTTTAATCTTGTAAACCTCTAGGTGGAGATAGCATACAATCCCATAATCCCATAAAATAAAACAATGATATGAATTACTAATCAACTTTTCTGACTGCTGAATAAACGGCAGTTCTAAAATAACAGAATAATTAGAGCACAACTTAAAGATGTTCATTAAATTGTCACCTGACCTCATTATTCAATGCATCCAGTTAATAGTGATTTGTCACTACATTTTTGCTTGTAGATTCAAATCTAGATTGCACTATCATCCTAGCTAATGCATTTGGATATTTGTTTTCCTCAAATCTTTGAACTTCAAAGTTTATTGTAAAAAATAGATTTGGGGCTAAATAATTGGCTACATATTTTTGTAGCCAGAATGAAGAAGTGCTTTCAATTTTATGCACCTAGCAAAGATACTGCAGTATGAGTTTGGCCATAGAGGGCCTGATATTTCTATCTTTACTCAAGTGAATAAGTCACATTGCTGTCAAGGAATCAGCATAAATAACAGAAAATGATTCCTGTTTGTCCATTTTTCTGAATTAGACTCAATGATACTCATTACATTTTGGGTACTAATTTGTCTATGGAAGAGACCTTCATTGGATACTTCCACAAAACGTATGTTTTTACACAATATGCATGCATTAACAATACTATTTAGAATACGTTTCAAGTAACCTGTGGCAAATAATTTTAGATGACTGCATAGAGATGGTAAAACAATATTAATGTTATTTTAATGTGATTCTGTTATTTGAAATGTGTATGTTAAGAGGTGCTTTAGCTTTTCAGTAGTAGTCTCAGCCAGGCAGCAGAAGCATATTGGATTTTATTATTGCTTTTAGTAAAAGGAAAGGAGGGAGCTAAGTGATTTATTGTTGTTGTTATTTTATTTTCCATACATCTTTAAAGTCGTTCTGCATATAATGTTTCTTATTTTAGGAAATCAATATATGACTTTCACTAAAAACTGATTGTTGTTTTCAATTACTTACTGTTGTTGCTGCAAGAATTTTAATAGCAATAATGCCAATTCTCAGGGTTTTTTAAAAAAAAGCTGAGTAGAACTCTTAACATTTGCTTTGTCATCCTGTATGTGCCCATTAATTACAAACATGGAGGACAATTCAACATATGGAATTCATCTATAGCTTGTGAACCATACAGTCCCTGAGTGAATACAGTAAAATTTTAGATGGTCCAATGTAAAAAAAATAAACATAGTCAACATCTTTGTACTGATTGTCCTTGAAGACATTCATTTGTACAGCACCAGTTGGGGAGTTCTGTATAATTCTTGTTTTCATAAATATCAGCATTGTACAATATTTTGGAGTGCTTTATGCACAGCTTTTCTTATGAGGAAAAATGATTCTGTTTCCAGCTCTACAAAGACCAGAAAATCATGTCCACCTCTTCTTTTAGGGGTTGTTACCAGCTACCTGTATTTGTGTAATTGATAGCAGTAAAACAGAAGGCAATATCTAGCTAGCTTTGGTACATCTTGAAAAAGCTAAGCAGGGTTGGGCCTAGTTAATACTTGGGTAAGTAGACTGTCAGAAACCCTAGGTGTATAAGTTAGATTGAATTTTGAACAAATCCCAGAAGGAGGTCATGGCGAGCCAATTTTGTGCTGTTGCCACGGAAGCTACATGGATGTGCCCATGTAAGTCACAAGAGTCAGCCTTGACTTTGAATAATTGTTACTTTTATTTTACATAAATATTGAAGCTATGCATGCCGGAAATGTTATTTGGAAAAAGGGCTTCAAACGTCACTCGAGCATGGTGGTACTTCTCTGCTATTTACTTTTTTAAAGCAGCAAATCTTTTAAGGTTTCTTTGCAAGTCCTAAAAAAATGCAGAAGTTTAAAAAAAAGATGGGCTGCTTTAAGAATAAACATGCTCTGCCAACTCAAGATATGAAGCAGTTCTTTTGAATTGTGTCTGAAACTTAGGCAATTCTAATAAATATATCCCTTTAAACAGATGTAGGCTGCACTTACGTTAACAACCAGTTTGCTGGCTGTGAGCGCGCGCGCACACTAGCCTGGCTCGCACGCGCTGCTTGGGGTTGAAACGCAGCTTCAAACATGCAGGTAATCTACTCAGGCAGCTCCGGTGAGTACAGCAGGAGTGGCGTGGAACTCAGCTGGGTATCATAGGTGAGAGAAAGGAGCCAGAAAGTTAGTTATATATGGAAAGGATAGTGCAGGGGCAGGTGGGCGGGCCCAGCCAGTGATAAAAGCTACTGGTTCGCCCGAACCGGTGCAAAAAGGTAGCAGCCACCACTGCCTTTAAAAGTTGGTTTTATTCTCAGTGTGTGGATGGTTTGAATGTGATGGGCTATTTCAAGTGATGGGTGAGTTTCTCCAGGATTGCCATGTAATTAACTTTTTAAAAAGTCTTCTTTTTGCAATCTGTTTTGAAAAAGCAGTGCCACCTGCTCAGTGCACATGCAGAGCTTTTAAAGAAGGGTTCTAGTTAGCCTCCCTTTTGTTTCAATACATTTTTTTAAAGGAGGGGAAAAGTTTGCTAAGAATGGCAGTGATTCAGGTAATAGCTGTGACTGAGCCTCACTAGAATTATTTATTATTATTTATTTATTTCATTTATTACAGCCACGCACTCCAAAAGACTCTGAATGACCTTCACATCAAAATATACAATTCAAATAATTAAAAACATAACAGCCTATTCTAAAAAAAGCAACTATTATTAAAATCAATAAAAATACAACACAGATACTACAAGATGACAACATTTAATTGAGAGGACCTGAAGTATGCCTAAATATACTAAGAGGGCAAAAACAATTGGAGATACATAGTCCAGCAAATAATTAGGCCCTTTTCCTGGTAAGATTTGGTAGGCAGTAATGAACCTTTAACATTGAAAGCCTCACCCCACCTCTACTTAATATAATTTATATTAATATAAATGTTCACATAAATGTTCCGTAGCTACTGTTGCTTAGGCAAACTTGAGCCCAGTGGAATGGAAGCGTGACTAGCTATACTGCCATATTTCATATGCTTGAAATATGCTTAGTTTCATTGGTTCTGGGTTATATACATAGAAAAGAAACCCCTTCCTGGATTATATCCACTTATATAAAGTAAAAACAAAGTCTCCCCGAAGTCAGATTTGATTCCTGGTGATCTCATGGACATGCTGTGCAATTTTCTTAACAAAAATATGGAAATGATTATCACTGTTTTTCTCCTGGGATTGCGTTTTCAAAATTCTAATCTTGGCTACAAGTTGAAGATTTCCTGGTGGTCTTCCATTCAAGTATTGACCATACCTAATCCACCTTAGCTTTTTTAACATCATGCAAGGTTACTGGTTACAGAGACAGAGTGGAAAAGGATGCATAATTTGAGTATTTAATATTGAGTAGAATTTACTGCAGGAAACAGCAGGAAATCAGAAACAGGAAAGTAACTGCTGTTATATTAGTATTAGATATATATATTAAAAGGTGATGTTAAATGAAAGGTCCCATATCTAAAAAGCTATTGATCATTACATATTCAAACCATAATGAATGTACACTGAGCATACTTAGTTTATTTTTTCCTCAATGTCTGTTAGATCAGCACTGGCTGACCCCAATGAAGATGAAGCAAAAAATAACATTACCATCTTCACAAGAATTCTAGACAGACTTCTGGATGGTTATGATAATCGTCTAAGACCTGGACTGGGAGGTAATGAATACTTTGATTCTGAAACAAACAAAAGATCCTACAATGTTGCTAGAACTCCAGGGTTTAATAATTCTGTTTACTAATGTTCTCCTAGTAGTAAAATTTCATGTAGAAATTTTAAGTTGTGGGTGAAATGTTGAGCATAGGTTTAAGAAAGTGGTTTCCAAATCTTTCATGTTTAAAATCACTTTTCAGTATTGATGGTATGAAGTTCTTGGATGAATAGTATTTTCTGTTTTATATTTTGGATTAATTTGGAACGTAATACTATATGTGATGCTAGTTAATCTGAGTATATATAAATTGCCCCAAGGGCCTGATGTGGTACTTTAATCCTATCATTTATTTTATTTATTTTATTTATTTGGTTTGTCAATTGCTTACAAGATAATAGGTATAAGTAAAAACATAGTTATGAATACATGGATACATATAAGAAAAATAAAAGAAACAATAGGACAGGGACAGTAAGCACGTTGGTGCGCTTATGCACGCCCCCTACAGACCACTTAGGAAAGGGGTGAGGTCAATAGTAGAAAGTCTAAGGTTAAAGTTTTTGGGGTTTGGGGAAGAAACCACAGAGTCAGGCAGAGTATTCCAGACATTGATCACTCTGTTGCTGAAGTTGTATTTCCTGCAATCAAGTTTGGTGCGATTAACCTTGAGTTTGTATCTATCATTTGCTCTTGTACTGTTATGGTTGAAGCTGAAGTATTCATTGACAGGTAGGACATTGCAATGTATGATTTTATATACTATACTTAGATCGGACCGAAGGCGGCGTAGTTCTAGGTTTTCTAAGTCTAGACTTTCAAGTCTGGTGGCATAAGGTATTCTGCAACAAGTAGAGGAGTGGAGAACTCTTCTTGTGAAATATTTCTGGACTTTCTCAACTGTGTTAAAATCAGATACATAATGTGGGTTCCAGACTGATAAGCTGTATTCGAGTATTGGTCTAGCAAATGTTTGGTATGCTCTAGTTAGTAGTATAATATTGCCAGAGAAAAAGCTACGTAAGATTAGGTTAACAACTCTTAATGCCTTTTTGGCTATGTAGTTACAGTGGGCTCTAGCACATAGATCATTAGAGATGAGTACTCCAAGGTCCTTGACAGAGTTTGGATCATCAACAAGGTCTTGACTAGATTGTGTAGTGCTTTTTCAACATTATCTTCTGTAAAATCGATATGTATTAGATCATTGTAGTTGTCTGTGGTTGTCTGTGGTTCAACTAGGAAATACTGGGCATGATCCATTACTGTTTACAAATACTGAGCCAAAGAATGTGTTAAAGAGGTTGGCTTTAATGGTGTCATCATTGCAGTCTTTCCCATTAGGTCCTTTCAGGGGTGGGATGGACCTTGGGTGAGTCTTTTAGTTTGTTGTTTACAAAATTGTAGAAAGCGCGGGTGGAATTGGTGCGTAGAGGGTTTTCCTCTTGTTTAATGTGACAATTGGTGCATTCAGTCTTTATATGGTGGCATAAATTTTTGTATCGGCTTTTGAAGTTGGCAACGTGACCAGCTTTGTTTTTCCGCCAAAGTAATCTCTTTTTGGATTGAAGCTTCCTTATTGTTATGGGTAATATGTTTTTTCTGGTTTTTGGAGTTGTTATTGGTACATATAGTTTGATGACTCTTTTGACTTCAAATAAAAATATGTTGTAATGGTCTTCAACAGTATTGCATCCAGTGAATAGAAATTGCCAATCAAGGGATGAGAGATCGTTGTCGATAAGATCATAGTTGCCTTTTTTGAAGTTATAATTGGGGATTACATCTTTGTGTTGATTTTTGTGTGGATGTATGTTGAGACAAAAGTCAATCATTGTGGTCACTGTTGGAAAAAGGTTCTTTAATTTGTATTCCGTAAATTGAATTCAAACTATTGCAGAAGATGAGATCGAGGCAGTTGTTAAGTCTAGCATTGTTGGTTAGTAGTTGTTCCAGCCCTAGATTAGTTACAGCATTGTAGAAGGTTGCATGTATGGGTTCAGTTTTACATTCGTTTAGCGTCCAGTTAATATGAGGTAGATTGAAGTCACCAAGAAAGATAAAAGTGTGCGGGCAGGATGTTGCCCATGTTAGTAGTGAATTTAGCTTGTTTACATGTTCGATGTCATAATCAGGAGCTCTGTAATGCAGTAAGAATCGAAATGTAATATTTAAGGACAGTTCACAGACGATGGTCTCAGGAAGAGCAAGCTCTTTGGTAACTTGGATGTTTTTTAGATGTAAGGACTTTTTATAGAAGATAGCAACACCACCTCTTCTACGGATTCTACGGATATCAGGGAAAGAACTTTGACTATTAAGCAATCATTTAAATATTGGAAGTATTAATGAAAATTAATAGCTTCTTTGTCTGTATAACTAGTGTTAGAAGCACGATGTAGCACAATTAATATAAATTACTTCTGCTAGAACTATTAAAGAAAGTCAGAATGACTCATGTAGTCTATTTAAATACCTGCTTTTCATCCAGATCCCAGGTCTCTCCCTTTCTGCAGTTGATTTGGGAGTGAACTAAACTTATCTATCTCTGATCTGCCTTTCACTAGGGGAGACTTTTATTGCCAACCTAGGCAGGGAAATATTCTCTTTATATTACTACAAAATTTAACAAAGATTTGAAACAGAATTGCACAGTAAGTTGCTGAATACAAGGCTGTGATATCTGTGAGAAAATCCGTCAAAAAGAAAACAATTCCTGGCACACTGATCAAGAAGCAGAGCTTAGGGATAGAAAATTGGCTGTGTTTTGAACGAACTTTTTCTCCTCTTAGTCTCTTACAGAATCCCTTGAAATTTTTATGGACTTTTAGGATTTTATGAAATACAGTTTGAAAATATCCTTACGTAGCCTAAATGCTAAAGAAATATGGTGATTTGATACACGTATACAAGTGGTCCTCAATCTACAACAGTAATTGGGACCAAAATCTCTGTTGCTAAGCAAGGTGGTTGTTAAGTGAGTCAGGCCCATTTTTTTGTCTCAGTTGTTAAATCATTGTAATTATTAAGCAAATTCGGCTTCCTCCAATGGCTTTGCTTGTGGAAACTGTCTGGCAAGCTAATAAATGGTGATCATATGGCCCTAGAACCATGATGGCGAACCTATGGCACGCGTGCCACTGGTGGCACGCAGAGCCATTTGTGCCGGCATGCGAGCTGCAGGCAAACTTACCTCACTGCGCATGTGCGTGCCTCAAAGCTGATTTTCGGCTGGTTTGAGGCCTTTTTCGCCCTCCCAAAGGCTTGAGGAAGGCTTCTTCAGGCTTCAGCAAGCTTTGTAGGCCGAAAACTAGCCCCGTTTCGTCACTTCCAGTATTTCCGGAAAAACAGGAAGTGACCAAACAGGGCTAGTTTTCGGCCTACAAAGCTTGCTGAAGCCTGTAGAAGCCTTCCTCAAGCCTTTGGGAGGGCAAAAAAGGCCTCAAACCAGCCGAAAATCAGCTTTGAAGCGCAGTGCAGGTAAGGGGGCGGTGGGGGTGGGTGGGCGGGGATTGTGCATGCATGCGTGCTGGCGTGCGAGCGTGCAAGTGTGCGCACAATTTTTGGCACAGGAGCCCCAAAAGGTTAGCCACCACTGCCCTAAACCATGCTGGTTGCCAAGCTCTGAAATTTTGATCATGTGACTATAGGGATGGTGTGATGGTCATAAGTGTGAGGACTGGTCATAAGTTATTTTTTTCAGAGCTCTTGTAAGTTACTAAATGAATGTTGTAAACCAAGGAAAACCTTTACTCACAGATAAACCTTCTCAGTTGCTGAAATATACAGGCATGATATAGTACTTTTGTCAACGTTCTGACTGACAAACCCAACCAAAGCAAACATGGCCAAGGTGATCCAATGTCCTAATGCAAAACTTTATTGAGTACACCATTTTAGCACAGATGAGGGCAAAACCAGATTTGGCTAATTCCCGCACAAATCCATATAATTAAAGTGCAGTTTCCACCCCCCTTAGATTAGGTCATACTGTCCAATTGAGTCTCATTGTATTGTTATGGGAAAAAGTCTTCGATTTGGCAAACACCTGCCAAAGTGTCCTTGATTTTCATGGCTGTCTGCTTGATGTCTGGAGTGTACATTCCATCTCTTCTTTCCCTTCCTATCTGGTTTGTTGACAAGCTGAGAAGCAATAATGTTTGCAACAGCAAAAACACTTCAAAACTGGACAACTTTTTTTCAAAAACTTAGTTGTCAAATACATCAGAAATAGCAGCAGCAAAAAAGATTTACAGGAAATGAAATATGCACTTTATATTTTTAATAGCTAGAACAGAAGAACACTAATTTAGGAGAAAAAAAGGAAAAATTGCAATCATTTAGTGCTAAAGAGTCAGTAGGTTGGAGAATGTATGTGGCATCAAAATTTTGCATTTGAGTCCTGGAAAAAGTCTAAACATTGACCTTGCTGTTCAGGTAACTGTGTATTGATTTAACAATGAAATAATAGGCTGATATATCTCTACCTCTTTTGATTATTTCTGGCATCACTGTATTAATAAATGATGATTCACAAATCTTTACTATAGTAAAAATAACATGCAAGAATGTCAGGAATTGTGTAGCCAGTGGTGTAGGTAGACTTTTGTTAACAAGTGTTCTTTGACTGGACTAAAGACAAAATATATAGAACCTTGTCTCTTCTTCTGGAGGCTTCCTTGACTACTAGTTACTGATTTAAACTTTCTGTGTTCTTATCTTCTGTTGTCTCTATTTGTCTTGTGTGGAGTTCCTACAAGGGAACAGAATAACTCTTTTTGTTTGAGATGTGGCTATGCCAGCTTTTCCTGATCATATGGTAGATTTGCTGTAAAATTATTACATGAGCGATCATATATTTTTATATAGTTGTTCAATTCTTTGATGGTTATTTTTTGTCACTCATGTAGTGCTTAGATAATTGCTTTTTGCTGAGTTTATAATTTGAAGAATATGCGACCATGTGGGTGAGAACAGTGCAAGAATTAGCTCCAGTCTGCAATTGGA